TCACACCAGGACTAGTTTTTATTTGAACCACTCCCTATATATATATATATATATATATATATATATATATANTAAATATACTTAGCTAAATATGGATAGCCGAGAGGAAATAGTGAAGAGCGAGAGCAACCGGAAGTTTTAAGGTGCTCGGTAAAAAAAAAAAAAAAAAAAAAAGACCTTAAGCCAAAGCATATTCAACCACAGACTTCAGGCTAATTAAATAAATTTTGGCACTTGGTACTCACATTTCCAACAAATACTGATCGTGAATCAACTTCCTCCTTGCTTGCCTGAGAAAAGCAGCAGCACTAGCAGGAGCCAAAGAGAAGAATAAATTAATTTGGATCAACATGCAAAATAAATTTTATTCATGTAAGTCTGGTATGTAAAGAACAAAGGGAAAAGTACATACACCGTGCCAAAAGGTGAACAACATAAGGTCAAACTCTATTTATTTCTTTCGGACATTACAGAAATTCCGAGTAAATCATGCTTCAAGCATCTCACTTTCCATGTCACTATGTTAAGCATGTAAGCAGTCTTATCCCACAATTCCTTCATTTACATTAAGCAAAAACACATTGCTTCTGCTAGGATTGATGTGGGTTCTTCACAGATTATATCACTCCATCATCTTGTATCTATATATATCCTCAAATTGTCATCTTTTATCAACATACGTTCACAAAAAATCACCTTGTATCATATTCTTAAGTGCAATATCAACTAGAAACCTCATTCTCAGACAGTCTCACACATCTCTGATTTCACAAGAACAAGCAAAGGCAGCAATTCACAATTTAAATGTACTCCACCTAGATTTTTCCACATAAAGCAACTAACTTGATGCAACTTTCAATGAGTTCAAAAAGCTCATCTGGTGACAGCTTGTACAGATAAAAATGATTACAAGGTGATAATAAAGAAGACAACCATTGAGAAAATAAATTATGATAATTTCTAATGGCTAACTACAAGGTCTGTCTGTATTTAGATTCTCATAAATCATAATGACACCTAGAGATCAAATCCAAATAAAAAACCATAGGAACTAGCACACAAATATTTATGCTCTCTAGATGAGACCACAGAAAACAATTAATTCAATCAAAATATGCATTTTTACGACTTTACTTACTTCAAGCTTCAATTTAACCGGAACTTACAAATTAAATTGGTATTAGTCCATGCACTTACATCAAGGAACCAATCAATGGACTCAGGCCAAGATCGAACGGCCAAGATCACTTACATCATGTGGGCTACCAAAAAACTGGGCTCAGGCCAAAGATTGGGCATAGAAATTGATAAATATTTAGGCCATCAATAAACATATCCTTTGGGCCACAAATACCAACATCAGCATATAGGTGTCGGCTTCCGTTTCCCCTCGTCGGGTATCTCTCCACCTCATGATCTTCATCCTCCATCTCTCTCTCTATTTGAGCGCAGAGAGTGATAGCCCTTGCTTTGATGATTGTGGATGCAAATATGGGTTGTGCCGGCCCATGCACAAAAAATCCGTGAGTGTGTATCTGGGCCGCTGCTTTTGATTTTTGAGAAAATTACCAATGCACTTATCAAAATATAAAATACTGCATATATATTAACATTAACATAATCTTTTATTTGCAAACATAGAATATCTTACATAAATATTTGCATGCATACAAAACTTTCTCAAATTTTTAACTTACCTTTTTCAAAAATAATTATTAAGGTAGTTGCATGCAATTGGTAACCGCCCTAATTTAATGGGATTTACTTTTGTAACTTCCCAAAAACTTGAAAAACATCAATGACTCACGCCATCTCCAATCTTCTCCATTCTTATCTCTTTTTTTTTTTTTTTAATTTTATTGGCTTGGGCGGCTGAAGCGGATGACTATGATCGTGTGGCAGTCCCTTTCGGCTCGTGAGTGGCGGAGGTCGGGCTTCAGCCTAAGGCAGTGGGAACTTGATCTGGCGAAGTTTATCCTAGGCGGTGGTGTCTCCGCTTTTGAGCGGCAGCGGTTCGTTTGGCTCGTCCAAAGGCGGTAAGGTGGTATGTCGAGCACCTCGTAGACGAGTGGCTAAGGATGTGGGCTTGTCTTGAGAATGGTCGACGGCGGAGTACAGAGATACGAAGATAGCCCTACTTGTGAGCAACGGCGGAATGGTGATAGTTTTGATCAGATATGTTTCAATGTTTATTTATAGTTTATGTTTGTAATGTTAGCATTTTTTATTTTTTTTTTTGTTGATGATGAAATTAATATGAGACGAGAAATGAGCATTTTTTTTTGTTGATTATTTTTTATGTTGTTGTACAAATGAAAGTATTAGAAATAAGGTTGGGGTAGTGCCCATAGAGGATAAAATGAGAGAATCACGATTAAGATGGTTTAGACATGTGCGTAGGAGAGACTTCGAAGCCGCGGTTCAATATAATGAAATAAAATAATCTTATTAATTTGAGAAGTTAGTTGTATATCTTAAGATTGGAAGAAGGTTCAATGGCTATCAGAAAAAGTTCAAGATTTAGACGGGGTACTTATAAGAATATAATTTTGGATAAATAAAAGATGATAAAAAACGAGCTATAAAATAAAAACCGCATTAATCACTGTCAAAGCCTCACACATATAATCATATTTTTTTCAAGCATTCAACTAATCCTTACGCGAGAAATAAAAATAATTTTCAAATCCTCACCAAGGTAATTAAATCAATAATTCAAATTAGCAAACAACCAATTTATTTAGGCATATAATTCATGATCAAGGTCACGAAATTTTAATTACAATAAGCAATTCTAACTAATTCTCGTCTATCCAACAACCATCCAAAAGTAAAACACAAGACAAGAAACATTCCCCACCAAAGAAATTTATTGCAATTCTAAGAAAGTGAATAATCGTGAATCCTAAAAGAAATAAATAAATATATGATATGCTAGAAAGAGATTAAAATCTAAGAAATACAACACTTCTCTCACTTAAACTTATTCTTTTCGAACGCAATTAAATTTGACAAAAATAAATGTTACACCTTAAATTACAAACTCAAAAGTCGAGCGAGCTCCAGCATTGGTAGTCCTCGCACCCTCGAGCACGAACATGTTCTCCATATGTCATTGGGATCGCTCGATCACCAACATTTTTTTTTTATTGCAAACTACTACCCATCTAGAGAAGCATGCTTCAACGAACGAGATTTTTTTTTTTTGGGACTGCAAGGTTAGCAGGTGTGGTGCGGCCCAACCCGTTTATTCATAGGCATTATAATTGGGAGTGAGTTGGTATGTTTCAAAGATTTTTGAATCTTCGGACCGTACCAAAATTCAGAGATCAACTAAAATTCAATCTCTAGAACCCTACCAAAAACTAGGACGGTTCAGTTCTAAAACTCGTATTTTTCGATTCGGTTTAGTTCAGGATTAATACTATCGGTACGGTTCTGATTGGAGCTACGGAGATTTCTAATTAAATTTTAGGCTTTTTTTCGAATGGCAATTTAGTTACATTTAAATTTTGATATGTTCCTTTTAATTTGCAACATTTAAAAATTATATTTTGAAATCAACAATATAAAATATAGGAATGAATTATAAGGCAAAATGCATATTTATTCTCGTTGGTTTAATGACATAGCAATTTTAGTCTCAAGATTCTAACTTTTTGTCTTTTGGTCTTGTAATTTAATATTACATGACTTAAATTAAAAATTACATGACTTAAAATTACAATGCTGAATTACAACAAAGTTTTAAATTACAATGCTGAATTGCAACAAAATTTTAAATTATATTACTTAAATTTCTAACCGAATATCTGAGAATTTGGGTATTTGTTTCAATTTCAGTCCTTAAAGGACTAAAACTACAGTAAAATATTAAATCAGCAGGACTAAAAATACAATTTGCCAAATTATAATTTTAGCTAAGACTAAATTCTTGCAGTTAAATATGATTATTTGGAATCTTAACAAAATATAATATAATTTAAAAAAATAACTCTAATTTTTCATACTTTTTAATTATAAAATCAAATAAGATAATAAAAAACAACAAATGTAATATAAATATTTATTAAAAAAATAATTAAAGTATTAATTGTAGGTCAAGTATTATTAAGTATGAAATTTTAGTAAGTTTAATAATTACTACTATATGCTATTAACTATTTTAAAAATATTCAAATTATATAGGACCAAAGTTAATATAATGACCAAGACACATATAATGTTACAGTTTGTGTTTTAATTTTGGTTCTTCGACATGGTATTATATGGAAGAGTTTAATTCGGTTCTAAGTACGAATATTTACTGGTACTGTACTGATTATTTCTTTAGTTTGGTTAAGTTCAAAGTAAGTCAAACGATCCAAAGTTATTTTTCAGTTCGAATTAATTTTGGTTCGATTTTCAAAACATTTCGATATTCTCCGAGTCATGTGTTCAGCTTTGGTTATATTATGTAAGTTATAACAGTCGTATGGAATAACTACACGTTTAATTTAATCTTCATTAGTGAGTTCATAATTTTTTTAACACGGTTTGAATCATTTTTAAAAGTTTCTATTACGTTCCAACTAATTGGTCATTAGTTTTTAACAAGAGATTTATCATATTATAAATTAAATGTTCACTCATTGTCCCTAAATGTCATTATTCATTAAAGATTCAACATAACATTCTTATTTATACTATAACACATGCTGTGTTTGGTAAGCCAAATAAGCCTCATTTGGTAGGACGAGTTTTTTTAAAAAGTTCGAGTTTATCTCATAAACTACTTTAGGTAGCTTTTCAAATAAGGTAGTTGAATTTTTTATTTCAGCTAGCTTATTAGCTAATTTTACCAAACATTTTTATCATATAAGCTAGCTTTTCAGCTATAAGTCATAAACTATAAGTTATAAGCTAAAAAATTACAAATAAGCTATAAGCTAGCTTATCAGCTAGTTTTACCAAACATAGCCACAATTTATATAAAGATATCGCGTCAAATTTAAAAATTCCCATTTGGTATATTGACAAGCTCAATAAAAAATATTCATCAACCAATATCCTAAACATAGAGAGACTAGCATTACTTGTCACCACTTTCACTATAATAATCCAAGTTCTAACTTATTTTATCAAGCATCTATTTATAGTGTAATCTCTTAGTTCTATCCACTCTAGTTGAATTGCTTACTTGAACTAGAGAGAAAGCCTCTAATAATAGGCTTAAATTTCTCCACACTCTTTATGATCCCAAAAAACATGAGCCTATACAAAACCACCATGCCAAACATAATACAAACATCAATCCACTTAGAGTATCCCATCTCTACTTGCCAAACACTCCTCAATATCTCATCACCACTACGTGTCCCTCCTACTCCATCCACAAAGACTAACCCCTCAAACTCGTTCTTGTAAAACCCTTGATTCGCATACTTGTGGAACGCAATGTAGTACATAGGGTACCTCCAGAAGGGTTTCGGAAGATCTTCAGGGAGGCGGAAAAATCCTCCGCACAACATCATAACTCCCTGGATTCCAGCACCCGTGATAATTCCCATGAGAAAGTCGGGCACTATACTAGCCACGATCATCATTAGGCTCTCGACCAGCATCATGCAAGAAAATAGGAGCAAGGCAAAGTAGACAAAGTGGTCGATGCCCTTTTGGAGGCCGACTAGGTAATAAGCTATTGCACCCGGAATGATGGATATCAGTAACAAGTATGGGATGGAAGACAATGTGTTTCCAATCACAAATGCCGCCACACCATAGTGACCATTCAACCTTTCGCGTGTGAAAATCTACAACATTATCAAAGGTGTGCTAATAAATTACATAAACAAAATTTTTGCCGCATTTGTATGTAGTTTTTAAAATCTAATTCAGGTTCTTTTCTTGTTAGGTTGAACCGATCTATAATATGTTAATCTAGAGGTGCTTTACATGGGAAAAGGCCACAAAAGGAGAAAAATATAGAAATTTAAAAAAACAAATAAAAAAATATGTGAGATTACCTTCATGTCTTCTACAAAAGAAGGAAAGCCACCAATTGCCATAAAGGTCAAGAATGCAGCAACAAACATTAGCATGGACCCTCTAGCCTGCCAAAAAATTGAAACTAAAATTAATTCAATAAATAGAATCTATATAAAAAAAAATGTTTATCATTTATCTCATCTTTGAACTTTATTGTTCACAAAAAGAAGGGTACCTGGATGGATCCATAACTATAGCCGATGTCATAAAATATTGTTCCCACGCACAAACATAAGGCAATATATATGGCCAGTCGAAGCCAATAATAGCCCAAGTCGCGATACATATTTATAAAAGATCTCCAAGTCAGAACAAGGCATTGTGTGACAAATTTTGCATGGCTTTCTTTCGTCTCCAATGGCTCCCCACTCTAAAATAAAATTAAACAAAAATAAAATCTATCATTAATAGTTGCATTGATAANAAAAAAAAAAAAAAAAAAAAAAAAATCCAGCTTTGCTCTATGAAAGATCTATTTTTTGTTACCATTAAGGATATTCTCCTAACTCTTTCATGTACTTGCTGGTAAACATGTGATGACATGTACGATTTAGCAAGAAAATCAATTGCTTCCGTTGCGCTTATCTTTTCACTCCGTTCTCGTTCGTTATCCTACGTACAGAAATATATTGTTATACATACATCATTTTCAATAACAACAATAGTAAGAAGTTGTTCTTCAATAAGATGATTTAATGTATCACTAAAAACTCACGACATCAAAGTCTTTATTGATAGTCCTGAGGTAGTGATCCGATGGATTCCTCATGGATGGACAGGGGAAGCCATTTGAAGCAAAAAACTGTTTCAAAATTACCAAAAATAAGTATCTAGATATTTTTTTTCAAATATTTATTAGGCAAAATTGTATATTAATACACCACCTTTCACGCTGTTGCAATATAATCACCACATTTGAAATTTTGCAAATTAATACACCACTTTTATCATTTTTGCAAATCGATACATGAATGACGGTTTCGTTAACAGAAATCTGACATGGCATTGACGCGGCTTAATGCCATGACAGATTTTTGTTAGATATTTGTTAACACAACCATCGTATCGATTTACAAAAATGGTAAATGTGGTGTATTAATTTGCAAAATTTCAAAGGTGGTGATTAAATTACAAAAACATGAAAGGCGGTGTATTAATATGCAAATTTTACCTATTTATTAAAAGAAAACTCAGTTAATAAAGATTTCCTTTTGTCACCTCATTTGCTGCTGAAGCAGAACCAAAGTAGATTGTCTTCCCAGATGACAAAAGACACAAATTTTGAAAAAGCTCGAAAACCTCCCCACTTGGCTGATGAATCGAGACCACAACTGTCATTTTGTCTTGCCTCGCGAGCTTTATTATACGGTTCATGACGTGGTAAGAAGCCGCGCTGTCCAAACCACTTGTTGGCTCATCCAAAAATAGCAGTTTTGGCCGAGTTAGGATCTCTATGCATATGCTAACCCGTCTCTTTTGTCCGCCACTCAATCCTTTTACATTCCAACCCCCAATCCTAGTGTCCACCGCTTCTTGTAGACCCATCTCCATGATTGTCTGCTCTGCTCGTTTTTTCTTGTCGGGCATCGGCATGGAGTCGGGGAGCTGGAGGAGGGCCGAGTAGAGGATGGCTTCTCGTACGGTTAAGGTTGTCATTAACGTGTCGTCTTGAGTCACATAAGCCTATGATGGGAAAACATAGTTATGAATTCAAATTACTAAAAATGGCAACTAAAAACGATCACTTTTAGTACACTATGTTGTTTTTGTACAAAATATAATTAAAATGGCAACTTAGTGGACCATTCTTGATGACACCCTATCTGGTGGACCTTTTTCGAAAAATGATTAACATATATTGTGGACCATTTTTGAAATTTTACCTAAATTTTGCTACAGTAAGATTTGGTAAAACTTTTGCAATAACGTATGATTGACTCAACTCCATCATCGATCACTACAAGCACTACACCATGAATGAATTTGGGTTAAAAACATTTCTTGTAGCATGTTATAAATTTTGGTTTATGTATCATATTGTTGTAAGACTTTTGATATTATAAAATTTGTGGTATTTGAGTAACACTTTTTTATAACACTTTACTAATACGTTTAATTTTTATGTAACACTTACTGCATATTTATTAATATCTTTTTTATGGTCCTTTTTAGTAACATAATTTAGTTTAATTTTTGTATAATATTTTTTTTAAGTTTAAGTAAGATTCTTTTAAAAGTCATAATTTGTAGCAGGAATTGTTATCCAAAATGTTGTAATTGATAAATTTAGTTTTAAGAAAATATTAAAAAACACAACAAAACAAAAAGACTTACCAAGTGAAATAAAATTAGTGTCTATATCCATTTTTTTCTTTTTTTGAAAAAATCTCTTAAACTTATCTTAAATGAGAGACATTAGTTCTCTAAATGAGTTGCACCAAATCCTAATGTAAGTACAAGGAAAAGTTTTCTTGCAACACAAGTGTTGTTATGCTCTTTTTAAAAGTGTAACTAAACGAAATATTAAAAGTGTCACAAAATTAGAATTATAACAACACTCATGAAAAAAGTAACTACATAATGAAGTGTCGCAATTGTAACTAATATAACAACATATTTTAAAAGTTTAATTAAATTATGATGCTAATAGTCACATTTTTCTGACATTGTAATCAAATAATCTTTTTATATAGAAGTTGCAAGGGCATGCCACTTAATATGTTGGGCAGCAGGTCATGTGATCATTTAAGTATTGTCCAATTCCACAATTCTTTTTTGCCTCAGAGAAATAAATTGCAAAATACCACCACCATGCCATGAACGCGTTATTCATCAGCTTACTTGAATTAATGCTAAGTGTTGGAGACTCCGTGATAGAGATTGAAATTTTAATTAATCTTCTTTTAGTTTTGTAGTTAATTTAGCTTAAAACTCATTCAAACCAACTCAATTGCGATTATAATGTCTAGGATTTTATTTTCATCTTTACGTGCTTGCGACTAAACAGTGAAGCTAGATCCGAGTAGTCCTCATTAGAGAACAACCCGACATTTAAAATTACTCAGTTATCAAACGATTTCCAAACAATCTATACAGCTTCGACAAAATGGGGTTGTTGTCGGGGAGGGGCAAGTAAGATACCAAGTTCTACATTTTAGTCATCTTTTTTTATGTGTCTCGCTTGTTTTTTTGTTAATTCGTTTAATTTTGATGTTTCGCATGCTTTCTCATATCTCTAAAAATTTAGTAGTAATTCATGCTTTGTACTAGAAATGACAAAACCATGGGATCTCATCAAGCAAATCAAGAGGTCAAATAGATATTTGATCATACTTCGCATTGTTCGTATGTTTCAAAGAACATCTGAGTTTTCTTCTACAAAAATGTGCTCGAAATATCATGATTTTAAGGTAAGTCTATCTTTAATTATTTGTTGAATTTCTGATGCTCCAATTTTTATTTTTATTTTGTTTTACTCTGCACCTTTAATTTTTTATAATGTGACCGAATAATTGGCATCACTCGATCGTTTAATGTACCCAAATTCATCGATGAACTTGAGGAGGGTTGTGTTTACGCTTTTAAAAACTATCAAGTAGAAAACAACATTGACATCTACAAGTCTACTATTGTCACACATGCATCATTCATGGAAAAACCGAACACCTCAAGTATAAGAGAACATTTCCAATGTTTCGTTTCTCTTTTAGGAGCTTTGTGACGTTACGTGATGTTGACAACATCGATGAATCCATGATGTTTGGTAAGACTTATCATATTCCCCTTATGTCCCTTTTCTGCCATTAACCAATTCAACTGGCAAAAACGTTTGTGGTGGTTGGGCTTATACATACATCTATAGATATATTCACAAATATCTATGATTGGTATTGTTAGAATTCATATTTCGGATTGGCCGATTTTGTTTTTCTCTCTCTCTTTTTTTAATAATTTGTTAGTGTAATTTCAAATAGAGGAGACAAATAAAATTAAGAAAATGTATAAATAAATAGGTTGAAGAATTTAAAATTATTTTATAAATTTGCAATATCATGGGAAGACATCTAAATTTTGGAGTGTGAAAAGATTTTGAAAGTTTAATTGTAAACGAAGGGCAAAATAATAATTTCAACTTAAAGTTATAATTATAAACTATCAACCAAATAGGTCTATCTGCTAATTGAATTGATGGATAACCTTTGATAAATTTAAGAAGATTATTGAACTTGATGGATAACCTTTGATAAATTTAAGAAGATTATACAAGTCCAATAACTCTTTGTCAACCAAACCCACCCTAAGGATATCTTGCTTGGACAATCCTACTTTTCCAAGAAATAGATCTTCCCTTTAAGAGAGTTTTNTATTATTTTTTTTTTTGGTACAAACCTTTTAAGAGAGTTGAAAACACGGATTGGGACCAAATCACAATTAAAAATAAAGAAACTAAAAGATCTTTTTTGTATACTTTGGGATTAAATTTGCAACTATATATGTGAAACTAACTTATAATTTTCTCTTACAACTATACCTTTTGTATACGGGTAACAAATTAATTTCTTTACGGTTACTTAGATTTTAATTGTTCTTACATAGCATACAAGATTTGCAGTTCTACTTTTATTTATAGTTATTTGGGAAATCATAAATTTAAATGAATAATGCGAATTGCTAATATAAGAAATAAAGAAAGAAAAAATGCAAATGACAACAATATATTGAATTGTTGAAGAAAAGATTTAATGCGAATTGCTAAAATAAGAAATAAAGAAAGAAAAAAATGCAAATGACAACAGTATATTGAATTGTTGCAGAAAAGATTTACTTACAGATGTGCCAAATGCCAGTGCTTGCTTGCGGCCATTGATAAGGATATCCCCTTGTTGTCTCGTGCTTGAATCTAACCTTCCTGAAATCACAATTTTATTTAATTTAATATTATTTACACATTTATCATAGTCTTGTTAGAATTTAGATGTACAAACTTGGTACACGCGCACCATAATCTAAAATTTTCTTACCTACAATAAAGTTCCAGCTACAGCTATTTGATTTAGACAAGCTCTAGGTCATGTGAATAATTTTTAAAAAAAGAAAAAAAAAAATGAAGTTATTTGTGGGTTTTGTCCTCAATTATATCGTTTACACGATTCAACATTAGTGAATCCAATTTTAAAAATAAAAAATTATGAATCTTCAATCTAGAAATCACAAAGAGTGTGTAGAGTACTCTC